CTCACATCCCCTGCTGCCCTCACCATCCCTGAGTCTTGCTTGCCCATGGGAATGAAGAAAAACTCCCTCATCCCAACCACCAGGATCGCCGGGGCCTTGAGCCCGCTGATGGAACCCCAACCATCCCAGCACTGGCCCAAGACGACTGCTGGAGTTCGGGGACAGAGATTCCTTAGGAAATCCACAGGCAGAGATTCCCTGGGAAATCCACAGGCAGATATTCCTTTGGAAATCCACAGCCAGAGATTCCTTGGGAAATCCACAGGCAGAGATTCCGTGGGAAATCCAGAACCAGAGATTCCCAGGGAAATCCACAGGCAGATATTCCTTTGGAAATCCACAGCCAGAGATTCCTTGGGAATACCACAGGCAGAGATTCCTTAGGAAATCCACAGTCAGAGATTCCTTGGGAATACCACAGACAGAGATTCCTTAGGAAATCCACAGGCAGAGACTCCCCGGGGAAGGAGCAGAAGAGGAAAAGAGGATGGAGAGAAGACTCGCACTCACCACAGCGATCAATGAGCAGATTCGAGTGAGGAGAGTGGGATGGAGCCCTGTGGAGCTCTCAGACCTTTTATACACCCCAGAGTGCCTGGGGCACCGTCCAGGGGGTGGGGGCAAACCCCCAGTAATTAGGAATTCAAGCGGACAAACCTCATGACACAAACTGAAACATGAGGTAATAACATCTGTATTAATTGAGGCCAGAACCAGTAAAGGTGCCCTGGAGAGCCACCAGGCCCTGAAGGGACAGGCCATGACCAATCACTGTGTGTAAGATGATTTGTTGTTGAAGCTGAGATCAGAGCCCCAATAAACCCCGACATGACATGTCCTTAATCCCCTTCTTTGCTTATGCACGGGAGTTTTGGGCATCACTCAGGAGCGCTTTGAAATGGCACAGCCGGCACTTAATCTGTCCTTAATCCTTTTTATGGGCTGCTAAATAGGGACGCCGGGAGGGAGAAGCCATCCCACCCACTCGGGGCGCATCCCAAACGCCAAACGTGGCAGGGGAGGGCACAGGAACAGAGTCCTGGAGTGGGGCAGGCTGGGGGGACCACGGACAGACGGACAGACAGACAGGTCCTGCTCGAGGAGGGTCACCCCACAAAGAACAGGGCTGGGCACAGGGCTGGGCATGGAGGGCTCTGGGAGGGAGAATCCCAAAGGAATTTTGGTGCCACTGGAGGATTTGTTAAGGCCCCAATTCAGCTGATGATGATGCAAAAAGCAGAAAGGGAGATCCCATGTCAGATGAAGCTCCATCAAGGATCCATCAAGACACAGATGGGTGTGACACGGGTGGGATCAGGAGTGGGATAAACAAGTAAGGAGAGACCTACAGAGAGAAGCAGGAGAGCAGAGAGCACATCCAGAACCACTCAGACCCTCCAGCCTGGGTCCTGGCCAAGCTCTCCTCTCGATTTCCCAGCTGACCCGAGGTCTGGCCCAGGGGGTGTTGGCTGAGCCCCTCAGAGCCAGACTGGCCCAGGGGATGTTGGCCAATTCACTCAGAGCCAGACTGGCCCAGGACAGGCCCAGCTGGGCACGGCTGCCACAGAGACACGGCCGGGCTGGGCTCAGNCGCTGCGCCCCCAAATATTCCTACAGCTACTCCTCGCAATGGACTCATCCCTGCAATTCCTACCGCTCCGGGAAGCGCTGGACGTGCTGAGCCCGGGGAAAGGGAAATTCCGGGTGGAATCCCAGCGGTTTTTTTCCCTTAGTTTAGAGCTGTTCTCCCGCAGCTTTGCGGCGCAGCCGTCTGCTCCCGCCGCGCTTTGGCTTATCGCGGATTTTTTTTTTCACTGGCACTGAGCTTAGAGAGGTGACTTGAAATGCTCGGAATTGCACACGGCAACCCTGCCAAAAAAAGGGAAATTTCCCGTTTTTTACAGGAGGCATCCCTTGGATGCTGGTGATTTGCCAGAGCCTCGCTGAACCCCCCGGAACGATGCTCTTTGTGTCCTGTACAGTTTTGTTCCAGAATTGTAGGAAAACTTCTCTTTCCAAATAAATTTTCTTGACTGAAATGCATTTTCTGTTTTCCTTTATCACATTAAAAAAAAAATAGGGGATGTTTGGGTGGGATATCAGTGAAATTTTTCCCCCAGAGGCTGCTGGACACTGCCCAGGTTCCACAGGGAATGGGCACATTCCTGAGGCTGCCAGAGCTCCAGGAGCATTCGGAAAACGCTCTCAGGGAGAGAGCCCAGGAGAGAGCCCAGAGGAGGCTCCAGGATGGGATCAAAGGGATGGAGCAGCTCTGCTGGGAGAGCTGGGATGGTTCAGCCTGGAGAAGCTTTGGGGTGACCCAATTGTGGTCTTTCAGGACCTGAAGGGGCAATGAGAAACATGGGGAGAGAAAATTCCCAAAGGATGGGGTGCCAGGACAACGAGAAATGGGTTCAGACTGACGGAGAGGAGGTTTAAGTGGGACATTGGCCAGGAATTCCTCCCTGTGAGGACGGATGGATTTCCCAGAGAAGTTGGGGCTGCCCCATCCCTGGCAGCATCCAAGGCCAGGTTGGAGAGGGTTTGGAGCAGCCCAGGACAGTGGAAGGGGTACCTGCCCATGGCACAGGGTGGAATGGGAGGAGTTTCAAGGCCCCTTCCAACCCAAACCCTCCTGTGATTCCACGATAGGACATCCCACACCATCCCTCAGTTAGAAACTCATTTACAGCCAGGATGAAGAAATCCATGACAAAAGAAATATTTCGTGCAATGCAGATTCTTTATTGTGAATGAAAAACCCACAGGTGGTGTCAGCGAGAGACAAACCAGCAACAACGCGATGGAAACACGAAAATCCCAAGGCAGCAGCAGAAGCGAGGCACAGCCCAGGGCTGCACCCCAGAGGTTGCCCCTTGCCAGGGCAGCACCGGGGCTCG